TACTGCAAGGTTTGGGATTAAACGGAGGGTACATCTTCCTTTTTCACTATTATTCCATCTTCTCTGCCAACGAGTAATAGAAAAAAGTCTTTCGTCTCTTTTGATGCTGTAGCTCGGCTCATCTCGTCTAAGACTTGAGAGTGTGTTTTGATCTTTAGCGGCTATGTCGAGAGGGATTATCCCGGCGATAACTAAGGCTGCCTCCTCTAACACGGTGTGGAAAGCAGCGCAAACATGGAGTGCGCACCGCCGGTAAATGGACTTAACGCCACGGGCGTATGACTCTATTTCCAATGCTGAATACCAAATCGGAAAAGCATAGAGCAGGATTGATCTAACTACCCCTGCGAGAAGCTGCTTGCTTTGCTGGCGCGGTCCGTTGACGTTTGCCATTAGTCTAGCTAAGGCAGTGGTTGCTATTGCGGCTTTATTATTCGCGTATTCGAGGTGATCGCGAAAGTTTAGCCGATGGTCAATGATCACACCTAGGTATTTAACGCATGACTTTGATTCAATGATGCAATCCCCAACTCTGATTTGAACCTTCTCTACTCTTTTCCGGCTGCTAATGAGAACGGCTTCTGTTTTATGATCTGCCAATTGCAGACATTTTGCTTCAAGCCATCTTTTAATGCTTGATGTGGCTAACTCAGATGGCTGAACTAAAGCAGGCTGTGTTTTTGCGACCACGACGGTTGCTATATCATCAGCGTAGCCTACTATGGTTATATCTTTGGGGAGCTCTATCCGCAGAACTTCATCGTACATGATATTCCATATGATAGGCCCCAGTACGGACCCCAGTACGGGCCCCTGGGGAACCCCAGCGGTGATCATCCGCTTCACTACTGCTTCTCTGGTACTATATTGCAGGACTCTATCACTTAAGTAGCTAGATAGAATGTTGGTCAAGTATGGCGGTACATTGAGGCTCTTTAGGGCATTTAATATATGTGCCCAGCTTGCGCTATTAAATGCGTTTTGCACATCGAGAGTTACAACTAAGCAGTATTGTTTATCTCCGTGCAACCAACGTCTGCCTGATATTGCTTTTTCTACGATGGACTTGACTACTTTGATTGCGTCTATCGTACCGCGCCCTTTACGAAACCCAAATTGTTTGTGTATGTAAATATATTTATATGTATAGATGTATGTTTAAAGGAGGCGAAATTCGGAATAAATAACAACGGCGGGGGAGAATTGCAACACTATCATACAAAGAAAAAAAAAATTAAAGAAAATTTACAAATGCAACAAAACAAATCAGTTACAACAACACCAATAACAAAGTGCGCACCATTGTAAGTGACACAACAAATAGCATAATAATGTTGCCAACTTATCCAGTGTATATGCAGAGAGGCAACAACGGAACTATGACAACAAGAACAAAAGCAATAGCACGCAAAGACAATGACAACTATTGCAAAACAAAGTAGCAGTAGCAACAGTTGTTGGCAAAGAAATTGCTTGTACGAACTAACGCATGCAAACACACGCATATACATATTTACACATGCATACGAAATGAGCAAGTTGTATATTATATTTTTTTTGTTGTTGCTTGCATATAGAATCTATGATTTAACTGCTGTTATTGTAGGAATTGCATCTGTTTTCGTCGTTGTTATATTTTTATGTTGTCGTTTTGTTGCACTTTCGTTACCATTGCCAGTTTGCTTGCGATCATTTGTCGCTTAAAATCATATTGCATAAGTAATAAGGGCAACGTTCATTTGAAAATCCATTTGTTATGATAAATATTTACCCAGTGTAAAAATTCTTAAAAAAAAATCTGATTTTATTATTTAGTTAGATTTCCTAGGAAGCTGCAAACGAAACTATTGGATTTCGTAAAGGTCGCAAAAATAGCAGTTATGTTGAGAACGGCGTGTTGTAGTGGAGAAAAAGCAGACAGTCCATCATTGCGATTGACCACCACACCTGCGGGATGGGATCGATACCGAGAATTGAAGAGGAAAGCACGACGCAGACGCTGCAGACAAAAAAAAAAAGAAAGAGGCCGAGATGCGTGAGTATCAAGAGCTTGTAAAGCTGGCCGACAAGCGTAATGCTCTAAAATTCTTTGAAAAGATACGGCGACTTACAGAAGGTTTCAAGCCAGACGCAGGCTCTTGACGGACACAAAGAAGTGATCTAGGAAACGATGCTCAGATTATACTGTATTTATGGAGGGAACACTTCTCAAGCAGTGAATATGAAATACCTGGAGAGGGTGAATCCAAAATCCAAATAGATGACAATGGAAGATACGTTCCCATACTTGACAATGAACAAGTTCGAACACCAATCGCTTTATTAAATAACAACAAAGAAGATGAGAAATTGATAAAGTACATACATCAGCTTCTTTGCAAAATATGGTTGGATGATAGCATTCGTTGTTACATCCAAAGCACGTTCTCTCAAGTTTCAGGCCTCAACGATTAGTGGCTTACGCTATGTGTTGACCACGTAATTAAAGAGAAACTTGTATAATATTTTTATTGAAATTTTTTCCCATTTGAAACTGTAACATGTTATCATCTTCCTGACGATTTGTGGATTTCATTCCAAAAGAACTGCAACGACCTTGCGGCCAAGAATGAATTAAGCCATTTGATATTCTATACTGATGTGAACCGAATTCCAGTGAGAGCGTTCGACAACGATCAGACGAAGTGCACTGGGCTGTAAGGTTCGTGAGACAAAACTTCCCAACTGCTGTTTTGCAATAGTTTTTAACCAGTACTAAAACATGAGGCCGAGTGTTGTCAAAAATGGAGAATGCAGGATAGAGAATAGTTGTCTCATGTCTGATCGTAAATTCAGGTCGTTCCAATTGTTCTGTTCGGCAATCGGTCACTTAAATTTGATGAATTGGTGCCGGTAACGTGTCCCATAAAAGGCCTCACCCGATTTAAGTAGCTCATAATACAGCACAGCCTTTTAATTTCACCATCACAGTGCTTACTCTCTCGCCATGACTGTTGGGCTTTGTCGTTGATTTGGCTGGTTCACCAGGATTTACATATGTAGGCGTTAGTAAGAAAGATGTGAAATTTGAATTGTTAAATCTGCAAAATTGATGCACTGCTCAGTTGTTCTGCTGCCCTCATTCCAACTCTCTACTCATCACAATCAAGTTCAGCGCATTGTTAAATAAAATAAAAATTGCACATAAAATTGAAATCTCTGCGTAGTGAGCGAAGGTCATTAGCTATTAAGTTTTCACCTCAAAATCTTTAGAAATCCGTAAGCAATACCGTTAAACTAAAATATAACATTAAAAAATATATAATCTCTAGTATTTTCAAGCGCTTTTAGCGCAGCTAATTTAATTTGTAACGGAAATAAAAGTTCAGTGTGGCTATTTGTGAAGGTTCGTTAGGGTTAAAAAGCTTAAAATTGAAAATTTTTTTTTTTTTAAATAATTCGTGAATGAAAAAAACCAGCCTTTGTAAGAATTTGTAGAAAAAATTTATAAAAATGCATAATTTAATCAAACTCAAGTCTGTCAATAATACCTATATATAATATAACTCGCACTTTTAACCGCTAAAGCGATTTTCGGCCGAGCTCCTCCTTCAATTTTTGGTATGCATATTGATGTCTTCCAGCAAATGGAGGGAACTAAAATTTATTTTGAGCCGCTTCCGTACGGCCGGATGGATTTTCATGAGGAACTTTTATTGGAAAGTCACTCGTCAGGCTTGACATTCCCTGTTGAGGGGCAACCATAACTTAAAATCATTAATTTTCTATAGTTTTGAATGTAGGTCGAAGCAGAAATCAAACTCTGTGGTCTGGGCGCTATTCGTATTGTTGACAGTGAGGAAGATATGCCATTGATAATAAGAAATAATATCAGCCGTATGACCGCCACGCCTACACTTACAGCAGCATATCCTTATAATGAATTTTTCCCTCATCAAAACACAAAATGACTCCTGTATGCCCTCATTAGCTTCATAAATTCCATCTTTTAGGTTTTGAATCGTTGTTGACATGATCGTATCTTTCACCTGGATACACTGTCGCACTGTCGCGATCACCTCTTTGAGAAATAACACGGTCTGGAAACTTTTCTCAAAGATTGATGGTTTCGTTGCTTGTGTGGCACGTAGCGGCATCTTGTTGAAAGTGAACGTTTTCTAGCTAAATACCATCCAAGTCCGGCCCTAAAAAATCAGTTATCACCTCCTAAAGTAAGGTGCAATGACCCCACCAAATCATAAACCGCCCCAAACAGTTAGACGTTGAGGATGGTGAGACTTTCAACAATTTATCTTGGGTTTTCCGAGCCCCAGACATGACAGTTTTAATTTCTGGGGTAGTCATTGAGTCCACCTCAATGGGCCTTATCAGTCAAGATGATCTTACGACAAAGTTCAGTATTCTTTTTATTCATTTCAAGGACATAATCAGCAAAGCCACGAGGTTGTTGATGATCTAATTTACAATACAAGACCTTCGTTGCAATTACATTTTTAATTAACCATTTTTTTATGAATTCGCTGCGCGGTGTCAATGTATTGCGGACTATGTAGGACAAATAGATGGCGCTGTGACGTAAAATAATATAAAAAATAATCAAAATTTAATTTGTTGTTTTTTAAGAAAAAGTGGAACAGTGCATCCATATTCAGGGGGTTAGCGTGGAGAAGAACCCTGGGAGAAGGTGTGCACATGGCGATTGTGCGTTTTCCATACGCATATTGGCAAACCGTCTCTGTTGATATTTTTATTGCGCCGAAGATTTAATCATTTTAATCACCATATCACCTTTTATTTATTTCGATTCCATTGAAGTATAAGCAAGTTAGCTTCTGAACTGTCTGAATATGTTTCTTTATCGCTCAAACTTGGCGCTGGCCATAACTGTATACGGTCATACATATATATGAAAGCATATCATCTATGAATATATTAAGGTAAAATAAACATATGAAAGAAAGTATAAACAATTAAATTGAGACTGTAAAAAAATTCCGAAGACAGTGATTTCTTGTGCTTTGTTGAAGACGGTGCTTCAATTTTTCTATAAACTTCTAAATGAATTGAATCCCACGAATTCCAGTATTTATGGCGCTCAATAAAAACTTAATTTACGTGTCCTTAATTGGTTTATTTTTTATCGGTGAAAGTGTGGGCTGTAAGTTTGTGTAAAAAACTCAGTTTATTATTTATTAAATAGTGATTTTTTAAATGGTGAAAAGCTTTCATTTTAGAATCATAAAAAAAATTATAATCCCCAGATATAGATCAAAGTTGGTCATTAAGACAGCATGGATTATGTGCTGGAATTTTTATTATTTATCGGCCGCTCACGACTTTTCTAGGGTGAGGTAGAGATTTAGAAAAGCGAGAATCACCTATGGAGTCAACTGTGTTGTTGTGCAGGATTTTTTGTTTTGTAAACTTTTAAGCAATAATTCGAACTAGTAGAAAGTAATTCGTACATACTTATAAAGGGTGATTTTTTTTAGCTATTATCTTTTTGGCAACACTGGCTTAAACATTTTTAAATGAACAACGTTTGCAAATTATTGAATTTTATTATCAAAATGTGTGCTCTGTTAAGAAAGTTCAACGCGCGCTTCTTTAGTTCAGCGACGAAGCTCATTTTTTTGCTTAATGGGTGCGTAAATAAGGAGAAAAGTAGATTTTGGAGTAGAGATCAGGCAGAAACATTGCAAGAGCTACCAATGCATCCAGAAAAAGTCACAGTTTGGTGCAGTTTATGGGCTGGTGGCATCATTGGACCGTACTTTTTCACGTAGCTGTGTGAGCGCTACCGTAAGATGAGACCAATTTTTTTACCCCCAAAATTCAAGAGCTTGATTTGGATGACATGTGGTTTCAACAAAACGTTTCCATACGCCACACAGCACGCGTAAAAATGGACTTATTGAGAGGCGAGTTCGGTGAACATTTTATTTCACGTTCGGGGCCGTTCAATTGGCCGCCTAGACCTTGCGATTTAACGCCTTGAGACTATTTATTGTAGAGCTAATATGTTAAATCTAATGTCTATACAGACAAGCCCGTTTCAATTGACGCATTGGAAGACCACATTGAAGCATTTATTTCATGCATTTTTTTTTTTTGAAAAACTTTCCAAAAGCTCCTAAAAAATTACCCGAGCCGAGCGTGCTGTTATTGCTGTTCGACGCTGATCGTACTTTGGTATAACAGAATGAATGTAAGAAACAGCGTTGAGTTACACTAGTATACAGGGACTTGGACCTAGCCAATCAAAAGTAGTTCACTATGTTTTTTACGATTGATTCTAGTTGTTAATATTGTATATAACTATTTTTTTTCATATTCTGCAACAAATAATTGTTATTTTCTTGAATTAAAAATAACAAAAAAGAAATTAAATAAACTAAAACCCAGTCTTTAGTATCGCTTCAGTACTGCTTTACGTATGTTGGTCCAACAGCGTAGTCGCTCATCATGCCTTTATGTCGAAATCCGTGGTTGAAACTTTTGATGTTGGCTAGACCTTGGTATAGTTGCCGCTGGTAACGCTCAAGTTGGCGCGGAAACAATCAAAGTGGAATTTTTTCAAAAAATTTGCCCTTAGAGACATTCTAGTAAAAATCATTCGACAGCTTTCCAATTAAATGCCAATAATTTGCTCAAACACTTTGCAGCTTCTGTAGACATTAAGTTTCTAATAAGATCAGGTTCGAAAATATATTCTTTTTTTGACTTTAGATGATTTGAAAAACACTTTGATTACATAAATACAGAAAAGCCGCTTGAGTGTTTTGACGAAGTTGTTGAAGCTGCTGCCCAGTTAGATGTGCAACCGCAATCTTTTCTCCCGTAATGAGGCTAAGGAGTTGTGCTGTAGTCTCACAATTAAAAAAAAAAGAAAACACCCGTTGAATCCGGTGAGCAAAAATTAAGGAGCATTTTTAATTTGTTCTTCGAATTAATTAGGATTTTTAACGTTGGTTGCACTGTTTTTGACATCTACGCCAAATTTCATGTCAATGTCGGTATTGGTATTTTAGTTACACTTGTGTTTACTAAACGACTAAAAGTGCCTTCGTGGTTTCTGCATCACAATAATGCACACAACACTCATTCTTCGTGACCATTTCGTTAAAAATTCCACGAATATCGTTCCCCAACCACTCAAAAACTCAAGAGACCAATTCAGGGGCACCGTTTTGAGTCGATTGAGAAGTTTGAACGTGAATCGGCGCGTTCTCTGAAGGCCATACCTGAAGGTGAGTATTTGACATGCTTCGATAATTGGAAAAAGCGTTGGCATAAGTACATGCAGGGGACTATTTTGAAGGTGACGAAATCGATGTAGAAGTATAAATAAAGCCTTTTGATTTCACAAGCAAATTCACCTTACTTTTTGCACACAGGTATAATTTTTTAAAATCACATAGAATTTGTAGCTTTTATAGCAAAAGCAACACCGTAATATCGCCTTAGTTACCAGTATGTATGTGTGTTTCTTTCTCCTCTAGGCAGTCTCTATGAACGGACAGCATCTGGCCAAAATGTAATGGAAGAGATGAGAATATTACCAAGCTTGAATGAATGCGGCCATGTCGGGGCATTCGATCGCATTTTGGGTGGAAAAGAAACGGCAATGCAAGAATTTCCCTGGACTGCATTACTTATTTACGTAGATGAAACAGGTTTAATAAAATACAATTTTGAAAGCAAATAAATTTATACAACATTTCTAATATTTCTCTTATATTTTCTAAGATCCCGATAACTATCGCATGGGTTGCGGTGGCTCACTCATTAACCGTTATTATGTATTTACTGCTGCACACTGTGGTACGTCGACGCTGTCGTTAGTACGCTTAGGCGAATGGAATATATCAAGCGAGATAGATATAGCGGAACTAAATAAAAATATCAAAGCTATTGCTGCCCCACCCATTAAGGATATTAAAATATGCCGACAAATAATTCATCCAAAGTACAATGAGTCTGGCGTATATGATAATGACATAGCTTTATTAGAATTGGAAAGAAAAGTTGATTACACACCTTATATTAGTCCCATATGTCTGCCCATTAATGATGAGCAACGAATGAATCGCTATAATGATGTTTCTGCCTACATCACTGGTTGGGGTCAAAGGGAGACTAATATCTACAGTGAAGTCAAATTGAAGGCAAGAGTTAAAATTATAACTAACGATAAATGCGAAAGCGAGTATTTGTCGAAGTCGAAAATAAATATTAGCGAAAAGTTAATGTGCGCAATCGGTAATGAAATGGATACCGGTAAGGGAGATTCCGGTGGTAGCCTCATCGTTATGAATACCGTGAATGGCAAAATTAATGCTTATTTGGCCGGGATAACGTCGGGAGGTCTACAAAAAAGAATTAACGAGAAAGACGCATCTGAAAATTATAACAGGATTGCCGCGATGGGCATATATGTACACGTCGGATCTTATATGAAATGGATAATAGAAAATTTAGGATCTTTTGAAAAATAATAAAAAAATACAAAAAAAAAAAATTTTTATATATAAATATGTATATATGTATTGGCAAAAAAGTTAGTTTTCATCATTTTAATTTTACACGTTTTATATTATATTAGTTTTATTAATCTAATCACATGGAACCCTGTTCACACAACCATGCAATTAGTTAATTGAGTGAGCTTAAACATTTAAATTGCAAAAAAAAAAAAAAAAAAAAAAAGATTTCAAAAAATTGGAACAAATAGTATTAATTAATATGGAAATACTATTTTTAAGAAGAAGTAGTAAAACTGGAATAAAATGATAATAATTGAGAGACGCTGGATATAATAGTGTTTGCAATATAATTCCAAAGTTCACACTTTATAATAAAAAAAGAATTTGTTGAAAAATATATATTGAATTTATGTTTATTTTCGAAACTCCACAAAATAAATCTCCCTTTATATACATAGCTCGGGTTCAAATCCCGATGCCGCAAACATCCAAATGTCATGGAAAATTAATTTTAATAATAGATTTAATTAAATTTTCTAACTGCGGTCGCCCCTCGGCAGGGAATGTCCACCCCTCCCAGTGTATTTCGGACATGAAGTAAAGGCTCCTCGTGAAAAATACATCAGCCGTTCGGAACCGGCTTAGTATAAATTTGTTGGTCCCTCCAAGACATAAAACCACAAATTGGAAGAGGAGCTCGGCCGAAAAATCGCTTCAGCGGTTGCAATGTGCCAACTATAAATATATGTATTGCCAATGTATATATATACATATATATAAATCTATATATTAGCTGCTAGAGCTTCAACTTAATTGGGAATACCTAACTGTAAAACTTCTTTTATGTAATGTAGGTATTAATTTTTTTATTATATATAAATTTAGATATTCATTTTTACTCCCTTATCTCGATACTTATGAATCAAATCCAGTCTTATGCGCAACTGGCCTTGTTAACTGTTCTCGAATTGAAAAACCCTCTCTCATATTCTATATAGATTTAAAATTTAATCAGACTTTTAGAAATTCTCACGATTTGAAATAATATGGTATATAAATTCATTTCAAACAATACTCATATGAAAATACAAAAAAACCGTCGAGATAAAGCAATAAACTAAGAGACTCCAGCAACAGAATATTAAATGAGAACAAGCTCACTCAGCTTTGCATCTATAAACGACTTTCTGGGTAATCAGCATTTCTCGAAGAGGCGCCCATACTTCTTCTTCGATTTCGGTTCTGCTGTTTAAAAAAAAATAAATAAATATATTAAAATTACTCTTAGAATTCCCGGAAAACTTTTTTGGAATTTCCAGTAATATTTATATATATACATTTATGTACATACATACATCATTTTGAGTTCACAATTTCTCTCACATTTCAGCTGATAAGAACCTTTTCCGCGTTCAGGCTTACATCGATATATACATACACACACATATATGTTTATATGAAATATACATATATATATTTGCAAAATGTTGTGCATAATTTTGCCAACAACCAGAGCAGTTCGTCTCAAAACCATATTGCGTTCAGTCTTGAATGTCCAAACAAGCGCTAATCTTTTGTAAATAAAAAATGTTTTCGTTTAATCGCTTACATTTATTCTTGTTTTGTGTTTTTAATGTCCTAATATGTGTTTTCGGAGGTGAGTCCAAAAATTTTGTACAAGAGATACCAAAGTGCTTTGGAAGTGATGTTAGAGATGTGAAGTACTGAACTATTTTCTAAATTGACTCAGTCTTAAAACAGAACAAAAAAAAAATACAAACATAGTAAATAGAAAAATTAATATATATATAAAACTAATTTCAAAATTACATTTCGGCCAAATAAGGCTAAATGAAAATAATGTGATACAAAAAAAAATCAAATAATAAATATGGCAAATAAAATATTATTAACTGAAATCAAATAAAATTAATTTAAATGAAACGAAATGAAAAGAAATTAAATAAAATAAAAGAAATTATATTAAATAAAATAAAAAAATTAATTAAAAGAAGATAAAAAATAAAATAAAAAAAACTAAAGTAAATTTAAATATAAGAAATAAAAGAAAAAAAAATATAAATAAAATGAAATTAAATGAAATAACATAAATTAAATCAACTTTCGAAAAATGAAATAAAAAAAAATAAAATAGTATAATCTAAATAATAAAAAATAAATATAAATAAAATTAAATAATATAACAGAAATTAAAATGATACAAAATAAAATAAAATAAAATAAAATAAAATAAAATAAAATAAAATAAAATAAAATAAAATAAAATAAAATAAAATAAAATAAAATAAAATAAAAAATAAAATAATATTATCTATAATAAAAAAATTAAATTGAAATTATATAAAAGAAATAAAGATAAGACAAAATTTAAATTTAATTATAGTTAAATAAAAGAAATTAATATAAATCAAAATAAAATAAATTTAAAAAAATTAAATGAAATGAAATGCCATGAAATTAGGTGAAGTACAATAAAGTAAAATAAAATAAAATGAATTAAAATAAGATAAAATAAAATCATATAAAATAATATGATTTAAATAATATGAATATGAATTCAAATAAAATAATTACAAATAAAGCAAAAAAAAAAAATGAAATCTAAAATAAAATAATATAAAATTAATGAAATAAAAAGATAAAAAAATAATATGAAATGAAATTAAATATACAGCTCTTACGATTTGTTTCAAATATTTTCTGTTTTGCAGCTTCTGATGATTGCCCAAGGCCCAATGACGAAATAGGAGTTTGTGTATATCCCAAAAATTGTCCCAGTTTGTATGCTATTGCAAAGAAACCTGGAAGAACGGAAGCAGAACTATCGCATCTAATTAACAGCATCTGTTATTATTCAGATACTGAATATAAAGTGAGTGAAATCTGGTATAATTTATTTTTTTCCCAAGGCTTAAATGCTCACTATTTATCCATTTTTTGTAAGGTTTTTTTTTTAATTTCTCGAAAAATTAAAAAAAAACTCTTTGAAATTTTTACAAACATTTGTTTTGGATGTTTAAAAATTTTCGAAAAAATAAAGATATTTTCAAATTAGCTTTAATTATCATACTATAAAATAAATTTTGCAACAGAAACTCATAGCATTTTTTCCTCCTTTCTTCCGACATTAAAGTTTTGCTGTTCAAAAGGTAAGAAAATTGGTAGCGATGGATGGTTCCAAAGACTACAAATTTATACAAAAATTTTTTTTTTTAAATACACTGAATATTGATTAATTTCTATTTTCCAATAACTATTACTTAATCGACGTTGAATAGGAGAAATAGAAGAAAAAGATGTGGAAGAGTGTATTACACCCGATGGTAATGTTGGGACGTGTATTGACGCGCAAAAATGTGGCAGCTTAATGGACCTAATAGTAAAGCCGGTGAGAACAGCAAAAGAGGACAATCACCTACGAAGTTCCATTGAGCAATGCAAAAATACGGCAGAAACGCATAATGTGAGTAAATTTGTAAAGGAAAGGAATCACTCTCAGTGGGAGAGCACAGAAAATTCGTAAGAAAAAACTCTAAATTTTATCATAAAGCCATTCAGGCAGGGTTTTCTTTAATTGAAATATATAAAAAGAAATTTTTCACAAAAAGACAAATAAAAAAATAAAATTATCAATATCGATTAAATTCTTCTTTAAATCTAACAAGAACTTGTTTCAAACTATTTTAGATATGCTGCCCTAAAACTGCACAGAGAGAATTTCCTAAGGATCCGATTGATAAGGGTAAGTATAATTTATTTTTAATTTACTTATAAAATGACTTGTAAATTCCTTTTTCAGTCAATCAGACATGTCTAACAACAAATGGCGAAAACGGTGTTTGTACGACTCTCGCGAATTGCCCGCCTCTCTCAAATACTCTTCAAATAGATCCCCGCTCACAGCAAGCAAAATTCCAGTACTTCTCTGAGGAATGTGAAGGTACAGGTGAATTGGTGAGTATTGAAAAGCAATCGCTTGAGAGTTGTTTTTTTGAGGGCTCAAGAGTTAAAGGTTTATCTGCATAAACACGGTCTTTTCTGTAGCTTCACAACAAAAAAAAAGTTCAACAATATTAAATTGCACCATCTCGATGACCAAATCACATCCCCAAGATTATGCAGCCGGGATATTTCTACAGCGTGAGATGTGGCATGTGACACCAGCTTGTCGAAACCACATATCTTTCAAGTCGCGTTCTTAAATTGCAGGCCAAAAAGAATCGGTTATCATACATTTGAGAAGCAGCACGTTCTTCTACCATAAGTCCCTATAACACCATGCCCGGTAGCAAACTGCTGTTGGCCCTTCTATTGAGGGCTATCCTTAGCAGATACTCTGCTGAGGAAAACGATAAGATCACGTAATGTCCAGAGTTTACTACGATTAGGACCGACGTTTCTTTGCATTGCAAAGACTTAATGGCAACCTCGCTGTCAGAATATATTGTAGTGGGTTGGTTGGGCTGGGTTGGGTTGGATTGACGTATTAGAAACGAGCAACCATGAAGAGTTTTCCGTTATAGCGCTCAGAGTTCCGCTCGGAATACGCTGCACCAATTTGTGTTTTACGTCTTGATGTTTTTCCAACAAATGGGGAGACCTACAGTTTATACTAATCCGCCTCAAACGGCTGATGGTTTTTTTTTTAATAAATTTTCAGGTATGTTGCCCGCAAGACGAAGATTCCACTGATAATGCCTCAGAACCACCTGAAGAGCAACCAGCTCGTAAGTGATATATATATAATTACTCCTTTAAATTATAAACCGTAATTTTTCAGTGAATCAACCATGCCAAACTCCCCACGGTGTGAATGGCATTTGTACGATCCTTGAAAGTTGCCCACCAGTGTCAGCAATTTACAACGCAGAGAATTCAACACAGGAAATGCTACAGTTTCTTCAAGATAGTGAATGTGCTAATGGCAGTGGGGTGAGTCTTAACTAACTAACGGGTATCGTGTTTCCAAAAACTCGGTATTGTAGGTTATTCGAGCGTGAATCTAGATGGGAAAAGAAGCTTTTAGAGACCACTGAACTCATATGAAATCGAATTACTGAAGAGTACTTCCTAGCTACAGAAATTTCAGTCTTCCTTATTGATATATAAATCATATATGAATAAGATCTGAATAGTTCTTGGTTCCATAATTTTCAATAGTTTCTCTTAAGCGTATCGGGAATTCAAAAAATAGTTATTCGTAATCGAGAAAAATTTCACTTTGCAAAGTAGATTTCTGTCGTCGGATGAGGCATATCAATGGCTTCAGATTTTGCTAGGTGACCCTTCAGTTTAATCCTTAATCCTGGTAAATGAAACAACACGTGTGTCGTTTCTGTCCATACACCCAGTCGAAACCTTGAAGTGAGGGAGTGTCGGCTGGAAGACTAGATGGATAATACTAAACACATCAAACGAAGAAGTTCGGCGAAGTGTCAGTATGTTCGCACGGTGAAAATTTATGAGGTCGACTGTAAATTGATTCTAGGCTAATGTCACTAAACAATAATGGTCACCAGATTCGAAGAACTGAAATGTAAACAAAACTATTGAGAATGCGGCGTGAGCGATCTACGGTGGCTTCCTAGCCGATGATCCACAACAGCATAAAATACGGGTACAGTACACTTAAACACTCGACTCTGTTTGGATAGTACAAGGCTTAGAACCAACAAAAGGAGCAATTGGAATGAGAATATGAATGAGGAAGGTCAAGGGACTGCCCCGAAGCTGCCATAGGGAATGAAGGAAATTGGAGCCTGTCTCGAAGCTCCACGGTTGACTTTATATCTAAAGCAGCAGGGAGATAGGATTGGGAAATAAAGGAAAATGAGCTCTGTCTCGAGGCTACATGGCTAATAAAGAGCAGAGAAGGCGAATGGACGAATTTTCCTTGAAGCCAAAAGGTTAATACAGAACAGAGAAGGTAGAAGAAAAGTGAAAAGAGGAAGCATCAAACTCTGTGAGGCATCGTGTCAAACAATATTTGAAAAATATAGATATTTATATTATTATTATTACCGCTAACTACTCCATTCCTACTTAATAATTGTTTGATATTTTCAGTATTGTTGCCCCATAGAGCAGGTGGTGGAGCAGACCACAGAAGCCACAACTACAGTAGGTATGTAGTGTTCTAGACGGTCAAAGATATTTTAGATTTTAGAAATAATGAGAAATTTTGCTGTACTGAGTTGCCAACTAAGAAAGAAAGGAAAAATAATAGAAACCCTCCACTATTGATTTTGGAAACATCATTGGCCTCAGATAGAATAATTCATTTTTTTTTTATATTAAATTGAATATTTTTTTTATCAAAAATATTCATGTTTGAGAATAAAATGTATTGGATTTAAAACAAAAAATAATAATTTGACTCTCCTTAGCACCCCTGCCGGAAGTCTGTGAAACTGTTAATGGCCAAAATGGCACCTGCATATCCCTCATACACTGCGAACCGCTTATGAAAATAATGCAGAAACCCGAATTTGCCGAGGCTGATGTTAAGTATTTAAATGCCAGTTTTTGTGGTGATGCGCCAAATTTTCCGAAAGTAAGTGTGAGCGTGTGTAATGTTCAATAGATCTTAAAAGTTAAGATTTTTATTTAACTTGTATGTGCCCATCCATTAGGTATGTTGTCCACCTCCAGTTGCTGAGGCCATTCTACCACAACCACCATACTGTGGTAGAGTGTCTGGTGCCGAAAACGATCTCAATGCTGCGGTAATGGCTAACAGCGATGAATATCCTTGGACAGCGCTGCTCTTATACAAAAATAGTAAGTATCAAATATAAAAGTAACTACAAAGCTAATCCATCCTGTAATTGTAGTTTTACGCACAATACATTCTAAAAAAAACTTTGCAGCTAAAATCCCGTGACAACCTCTTTTGAATCGCTTTAATTTAAGTATTTACGTTTCCAAAAATTTGGCAACACTCTTTAAATATTTTTTTCATTGTAGCCACATTTAAAACTAACTCATTTAGTACAAATATTTCTCAATGGGTAAGATATTTAAATAATTTTTAGTTTTAAATTTCCAAAAGGATGGCAACCCTTCTTCAATATTTTTTTGTACGAAACCAGTTTTAAAAACTTTTGGCTTGGTAGCCATTTCTGTAATTATTTATTAAACTAAATAATTATAAATTTGTAACTATCAAAACAGGTGGCCTTCCCCCAAAAACCCATTCTACTGAAGAAATTCCTAGCTATCTGGTGTACGATATCTCTTTTCTAGCACTTAATGTGAAATATATTGTACATTTCTAGTTTAAATCAATAGATTGTTGCACAAAGTATTTTCAATCATAAGCATTTTTAAAACTAGTGGCATCCCTTCTGAAAAATCATCATACAGCGCCTTGAAAACGCTTCTGTTTGACATCCATATCATAATTTCTTGTTTGTTTTAATTATTTTGTAATACTTACATTAATTTTATTAATAGGTGGCAACCTTGGCAAACATTTTTTGTTTCAACACTCCTTTTTTTTAGTATCTATTCTGCAATATTCCTATACATTTTTGGTTTTAAAAGAGATATTTGAGTAGGTGGCAACACTCCTAAAAATAATTTCTACATCAGTTGAGCTTTAAGTAGTTCTACTTTGGTAACCATATTTAATGGTTTTAATTTTTCAAATTTCGAAAAGGTGGCAACTATTTGGAAAAAATAAATATTTTTGGAAACGTTTTTTTTTTTAATTTATCACAGTTTAATACCTATGTTCTGAAGTTGTTTAAATTATTGCTTGGATAAAATTTTAAAATTCCAAAAAGTTGGCAACTCTTCGGAAATTGTTTTTATTTTAATGTCTCTTAAAAATATCTATAGTTCGATAATCAATCATATAATATCTAATTTTTTTCATTCATTTCAAATTTCAAAAAATGTGGCAATTCTTCTCAAAAATGTTTTCAATATCAACCTCTTTCAATTCTCTACAGTTTCACACCCATTTTCTAATCTTAACCTCATACTACTGCTTGGTTAAAATTTGAAAAAAAAAACGTGTGGCAGCTCTGCTCACAACTTTCCAACATCAAACCCCTTTTAAATCTAATAAATTTATGGCCCAAATTAAATATAAAATATATATAACGTATTAAATGTTATTGTTTTAATAATAATTAAAATTTCAAATATAATCATATTTTATAAAAATTATTAGTTCGAAAGTGTGGCAACTCTCCACAAAAATATTTTCTAACTTAAATATTTTTAATACTCATTAGTTTACTTCTTAAATGTTTATATTTAAAACTTCATACGGTTTTAATAAAAGATATGATTTAAAAGTGTGGCAACTCTCGCCAAAAATATTTTTCTTTATTTATTATTTTAAATCTCTAAATTTTGTTCATATACTTAATTTAATTTATTTTATTTTATTTTAAGATATTCAATAATTATTTAAATATGTACATATGTACATATATAATAATGTATAAATACGTGTATATATTTTATTATGTTAAATTAATTTTCAATTAAAAACTCCTCGTCTCACCCAGGGAAAGGACAAACCAGTTTCTACTGCGGCGGCACCCTCATCCACGAACGCTTCGTGCTCACCGCAGCGCATTGCCTCGATGTGGAGCGGAGAACGTACAATTTAACCGCTGTCCGCATGGGCGCTTGGGCGTCAGCTGAAATCGAAGTTTGTAAAGAAGATCAGATTCCCGAAGAGGTGGGCTGTGCGCCGCCTTACATCGATGTGGCGGTGAGCAAAGTCATTAAACATCCACAATATGATTCGGTGAATAATGATTTGGCTTTGTTGCGACTGGAACATGTCGTGCCTGCGACACGCTACATTGCACCGCTATGCCTGCCCTATGAGAGCCATTATATGGCGGATATATTCAACACACCGCTGCTGTACACTGCCGGTTGGGGGCTGAACATGTTGGGGCAACCGGCACAATTCAAAATGAAGACACCTTTTGCTGTGGAAAATTTTGCCAACTGCCAAAAGAAATATTTGGCTAATGCAGTTGAGTTGAAATCGGAGAGTCACACGTGTGCCGTTGCTAAAAAGCTAGCTGATAATGTATTCCTAGATAGTGGCGGTGCGTTAATGTCCTTGACAAAAATTGGCAAGCAACAGGCGTACTTTTTAGTTGCCGTGGATACTTTGAACTATGAAGAGGCTTTGCAAAGTGGCTTCCCTGGCGTATTTACGCATATAAGCGGTTATTTGGACTGGATAAAGCGAGAAATCAGTGGAAATTTAATTTAAGGATTTTTTTTAGATATTTGCTGGCTCTGTAGCTTTTGCCAAATGGCTTGTATTAACGTTCCATTGTATTTAAAGTAAAGTAAACATTAAATTATTAAAAAAAGAAAGCAATTGGCTTGTCATGTTTTTATTTGAAGTCCTTGCTATCTTGTGCTTACAACACAAACCTATGCGGCTCCTAACTGAAAATGGTTGCAATAAGTCACCACATCTTCTTGCAGATTTTTTGAACGTTTATCCGGACAGCAAAAATCACAAACTCGTCGTGGGCATGCATATCGGTCTCCCTCTTCTTCTGCTTACCAGTGCGTATAGCCTTAATTTTCTACACACAACGCTCAAGCGATTTTTCTTCAACCACATATTTCATTCTGCGTTATGGCTTCCTCACTATGGCGTTGAATTTGCCATCTTTCTTTATCGTAGGTGTGGATACGTAGATCTACTTATTCTTAGATGCCGTAGAAAGCGCGACAACAACCGAGTCAGCTCACTCGCCTTTTCTTGTTTTCGCCAAGCTACGCCAATTGGAAACAGCCCTAGGCCTCTCTGCACTTGACATTTTCAGCGAAGTGAAGGTCTTACACTTTATTTGCTTCCACCTTCGGCTGCTGTAACAAAAACTTTCTAAGCCGTACGATATGCTCTGGTCAAGATGGACAGTAATTAGAAATTCAACATCAAATTTAGTTTTCGTTAACTGAAAGACGTCACTCCCGACCTAAAACCTCTGCTATTATTAAAGCTCTAGAGTGTCTGTTGAGATTTGGTATTCATTTTTGCTATGGCTCGCGCTGTACACGGGGTAGGCCTTGGACTTTAAATCTCTTTACATGCCGTTGAAGGTCTGTCCACTATTTCAGCTATAGAAAGAGATCTTGCAATTTTAAAGCTTTCTGGGAGGTGGTTCTGTCTCAAGCAAATACCTGCACATCTTAGCGAATACTGCTTGAAAAGTGGTTTATTATTCAACTCAATTAGGAATTTTGGGTATCGCAGAAGCTACATTAAGAGGGCGATGTGCCAAAAACGATCTATTGGCAGATTTGTAACAACCTTAACGGTATCTCTCTAGTCACAGATGGCGATAATGGTGCAGTGATTTTTATAAACATCGCGTGGATACCTTCTACGTTGCCAGAAAAGTTTCTCATGCTCAGCTTGACTAACCGTTATAACCGTAGTCCAGGGAGATGTAGAGGTGCGCAGACTTTCGAATTTCACCCACAATAACTTATGGTTTTTAACAACCAAGCAGCACTTCTAACTAATAAATAAGTTACGGTGGACATTGTGGGATCGAATGTAAGGTTTTCTGCAAGAAAGAAAACAAAACACTCGGACCACCGGACGCTAAATAGAACCAATCATCAGCATATGAGATAAGAGAAACTCTTTTAGGAGAGTGACAGATAGAGAGAGAAAAAGAGAGTGGAAGATAGACAGATAAAGCGAGAGAGAGAGGGGAAGAGAGAGTAAGATAGATAGAGAAAGCAAGTTAGAAAGATAGATAGATAAAAATAGATAGAGAGAGAAATAGAATTCCCTGTACAACCGCATGCTTAATTTAAACTTTTGACCCCGAAGAGCTCTTGCTGGTATCCACGATACCACGACGTGTTAGAGAGTAGCAGAGCCTAAAGTACTCTGTCTACTCCAATTAGAGACGAAATTCCACTAGACTGTCGCAGTTCTGGACGAGGGTTCCTACTTCCCGATAACTAGCTGCACTTCTTTCTTGGTGACCTCACTTATTTGAGTCGGACATAGCGTTTAAGCAGTATGAAATTTTCCCTCGGTCATCAGAGCTAGTGAAAGAGAAGGTGCATGAGCTACTGCAAAGAGATGAAACAAGCACGTCGAAACATTGGCACTCTCCAAAGGATGTGCGTCCTCTGCCACGCGTACGGGCACGTACAATGACCTGGAAAATGCAATTCAATGCACACATACATACATTACGCCATATAATATACTTTATATTTGCATAGTTGTTATTGTTGTGAATTGAGTAAGTAAGAAAAGAAAGAACTAGAAAAAAACCAAACGAAATGAATACTAAAAGTGGCGGTAGAAGCAATAAATGCGACATAAAAGCTTTCAACAGCCAAAACACAATGGTAACAATCAATACAACAACAATGACAATGGTAATATCAACAGTGCGAAAGTTGCTAACTAACACCGACAACATTGTGGCATGTTTGCATACAACAAAAACGACGACGACAACAACAACAACAACACCAATAACAACAACATCATCATCATCAACAACAACAACAACAACAACACCAATAACAACAACATCAACATCATCATCAACAACAACAACAACAACAACGACAACAAATAACGTTCTGTAGAAAAAAACAACAACAAAAGCCAAATCCACACAGAAGAAATACAATGGCCGCGGAGTCGAATAAAAATTCCGAAAAGAAAAAAAATAACAAAAAAGTAGCGCCGACGTCGAGAAACAGAACACGCTGGCGGAGTACAAAAGGAATAATAAACAAATTGCAATAGAAATGGAAGTCATAGAAAAGAAGCAAATTTCATATACAAATGTTGGCATAACGGGATGGATAAAAAAATAAAAATATTTGAAAATAATTTCGCTCGAAATGGAGGCAGAAGCAGAAGCTGGAACAGGAGCGGAATATCCAGCTGAAAGAGTTTTATTATTGGCTCAGTTTTTAACTCTTGCGTTATGACAATACAAGTAAAAGCAAATGTATGCACACATGTACATATAAATATGTGTAACTAGCCTGTGTTGTTTGTGGCAAGTGCAATGAACCCTCAAGACATTTCCTGCAGAACATACATCCACACGTTCACTTATATATGCTGAATTATTCTTCTTATTTTGCTCGGGTTTTTATTATGTTTTATGATTGTAGAAAAATTTTAAGAGATTTTAAATTAACGGCCAAAGTTTTGCCTTTTGCGCGTCATTTCTATCACAAAATATTGCATTTGCGCCTGAAACTATGCCTGATTTTTGCCCGATCGTTTTGAGTGATTTTTTTTAAGTGACCTTAGGTAATTCATTAGAAACGGAGTAACCAATGGAAAATGAGAATTTATTAATTAAATTTGCAACAAAAAACTTTTTAAGGGTGAAACTGAAATTCTTCTTCTCCTCTTTCTCCACAGGCGTAGAAACAGCTTTCGTGTTTATAGCCGAGTTAACAACAATACGCTGATCCGTCCATTCTTTCGCAGTGTGATGCCGATTGGATATACCAATTAAAGTCGGGTCCTTCTCTACCTAGACTTTCCAACGGAGGGGGGAGATCTTCCTCTTCCTCTGCTTCCACCGGCATGTACTGCATCGAAAACTTTCAAAGGTGGATTATTTTCATCCATACGGAGCACATGACCCAGTCCGCACAGCGGCTGTCTTTTGATTCGTTGAACTGTTGCATTGTCGGATCATAAATCCTATACAAATTCTTTCTCTCGGAAACACCCATATAGCAAGACTTGTAGAGTTTCATTTTTGTTTGTCGGGAGAGGACTTTACTCTTCAATTCCCAACTCAGTCCAAAGTAGCACCCGTTGGCAAGAGTAATTTTGCGTTGGATTTCAAGTCTGGCGTAGTTGTTGGGGCTAATATTGGTTTTAACTTCGATGTTACGAATATCAACAGTGACGTGGGTGCTGATTCCCGACTGTGTTGACCATTCGTTTGACTACAGGAGATACTTCGTTTTTCCCTCGGTCACTACCGGACTCATATCCTTCGCTTCCTTATCCAGTCGGTGGAAAGTAGAACTCACGGCACCATATTTGAGGCCAATAGTGCAAATATCATCGGTGGCGCAGCTGGTTCAGGTAGTACTATTTCTTTCAGCAATAACTTAAAAAAGGATGGAGCTTTTAAGTTTTACGGTTTTTTGTTTTGTTGAAGGCCGCTTTAAAATCGACCAAGAGGTGATGTGTGTTGACCAGCTTTTCAAGGTTATCTTCCAAGATTTGGCGCATAGTGAATATCTAGTCAACGGTTGATTTACCAGGTCTAAGGCCACACTGTTGAAACCCAATTAGTTTTTGTTGGTGGGCTTTAGTCATTCACACAAAACGCTCGACAGGATCCTATATGCGATATTTAGCAATATGCGAACTTCTTTATAGTCGGCCAATCGGGTTAACCATTTCCATTTGGCATATCTAGAAAGTAAGTGTACTGTGGGTCTCACGGCCGGGTAATTGTTATTTTCATGTTGGCAACAGAGTTGTGTTCTCAGACTTCTCTCCCTTGCATCGAGAAAGGTTCAGGGTCAGTACGTTGAGAACTACCGATGCGACAACACGTTTCGTGAGCAAAATCAATCCAGTCTCACGTCAATATGCGGCGTCATCCGTCAGCTGGCCTGAATGAGAAAAAATCCGTTTAAGATTTATAATGAGGTGGACACTATATTGGGTGCATACATTAATTCAATCAGGTTTCTTGAGTTCACAAAAGTGTTTTTGTTTAATAAACAAAACAACAATCAAAGAATTAGCCGTCGGAAGTGATTACTTTTTTCAAACTTTAGGGTTATCTTCGAGTCCCATTGCTAGATTTCTTCAATAAACCCGAACCGGCGATCTACCAAATCGTTTTGCATCTGCTGAAAAATCCAGTAGTCGAGGGCGACATGGACTGTAGTATACGTCGCGAGATACGAGTTACAGACCGCTAAAGCCATCTCTTGCAATATCAGTGATTTACTTATTACTAGACCTAATAATAAATACAAATTCTATTTTACTGCTTATATACAACCAAAAATCCAATTCTCAATAAAACTTTTCAATTAACAATTCCATTACCGTTATCCCATTTCAATCGTAATTTTTTATGAATTTACGTTCAATTTAACGGTCACCTACACGCAGTTAGAAACCATAAATGCCCCCTGGGCCGTAAACATTTCATCTTATGGCTTACCAAAAATCTCAGCAAATCTCCATCATTCCCCAATCTCTCTCTCCTCTCTCTCCTCTCTCTGCTCTCTCTGTTAACAAAATACATAAACAGTAAATTTTAACAGCCCAAGGACATTAAGCGGCAACAATTTCAAT